CTGATAGCTAGCATTCTGTTCACTGTGGAATAGCGGGACTGGGGGCGCGACTTGCAGAAGCCATTTCCTCTCCTCTCGGGTCAGCTCTGTGACCATGCTGCGCGAGTAGCTCGGGCACCTGGGTGGTCTTCTTATGCCTTTTATTTGTTCCCTGTGGCCCAGTAAACTCCTAGAAAGCTTTGGAGAAAATGTCAGAAGCTGTTAGAGTTGCTTAATCAGATAATAGATATTACCCCAGCAATTCTACTTCTAGGAATGCAATCTAAGAAAATAATGCAAAAGAGGAAAAATCCATTAGCCCACAGTTTAGGAAAAGACTTTTAAAATAATAGAATAATTGGATACAATGAACAAAAAGGAAATGATAAGTCATGCTGATCTGGTTGAATGGAATTGTGGTAGTGAACAGAATGCTAGCTATCAGGCCTTGGGGCTGCGGCTGGGCTCAGTGGCAGAGCGCTTGCCTTCCAGGATGAGGCTCTGGGTTCGATCCTCCGCACCATATAAAAACTAATAAACAAAATAAAAGTCCATCCACAACTTAAAAAAAAAAAGTAACAAAAGAATCAAGTCAACAAAGTAGGATGCAAACTTTCCACCTAGTGCCTCTATAAAAACAGGAATCCAACTGAACAAAGACCAGAAGGCAGCTTGCAGAAAAATAGTTTATGGGGCAAGAATTTTTCTTCATTTACTAACTTTGATAATTAAGTATATCATGTTTTGTGTTTTTATTTGAAATGTACATTGTACATGCTATTCTGATCTTTTTTCTAAAGATGAAAAGTTTTGTTTATATTGTTTCCTGCATTGAACACAATGTGTGTTTGACATGAGCTACAATGAAACAATATGCTATCAGCTGATGTGGAAGGAAATCAACAAGAACCATGATGGAAAAGAAAATCAAGTCCGCTTTTATTAAAAGTGAATACAGCAGGAAGGTGGTCAAGGAAGCCCCCCGTGTCTTCCTGAAGGTCTTCCACGGACAAGGAGAGGGTCATGCAAAGACCACAAAGAACATTCCAGGCTTTGCTGTCTGGGCCCTGCTTTCGACTTACGCCAGTCATCACGGAGGCCACGGTTATCATCAGCTCCATTCTCAGCAGGGTCTTGAAAAACCCTGGCCAGCAAGCGTCCACTCCAGTCCCCTTCGCAGAGTGTAAGTGAGAAGGTTGTTACGCCAAGCTCAGGGAGTCGAGGGTTAAGAAGGCCCAGGGTCGCAGCTGAACTCGCAGCCAGCCCCAGGCAGCTCAGGTGACACCCGAGTGTGCCAGTGTGCCGTTGGTGGAGCTGGTGAAAGGTGCCTGCAGGCCCTTGAACTTCATCACTCAGGACCCTGGCCCCAGCGCGCACCGCCTGGAGCCTGAGATTGTTGATGTAATGTGAGAGGGAGGAGGGGGGCCAGCCAGGTCCCTTAAATCCCAGTCACTGACACTTGAACTGGCCCCAGGAGGGGCCTTTCTTTTTTCTCTTTTAATACCTGTCACCAGACACCAAGAGGGACACATCGCCTGGAGCCTGAAAAAAGAGCAGACAGGTGGCTTGCTTAGCAGCAGGGAGTGCAGGCTTTGGTGTGTGTGTGTGTGCGAGTGTGTGTGTGCGAGTGTGCACACGCGTACGCTGGGGTAGAAGAGCCGGGGCCTCCCTCAAGCTAGGCAAGCCTTCTGCCCCTCAGCTGCACCCAGTCTGCAGGCTCTTTTGAGTGGGGAGAAAAGTATTCTTCCAGAACTTTAGGTGACACAAAATATGGAGATAATAACAAATAGAATTTCTTTGTGTCCAGAACTCAGCTTAAGTAAAATATCAAGTCCCCAGAAATAACTTAGCACTCTCCATTTGATGGTTTTCATTCTCGTGCTTATTTTACTTTGTGTATCATCTGCCAAGAAAATGGCTAGTTTTTTTTTTAACATTTATTTTTTTTTAAGTTGAAGACAATACCCTTACTTATTTATTTTTATATGGTGCTGAGGATCGAACCCAGGGCCTTGCACATGCCAGGCGAGTGCTCTACTGCTGAGTCTTTGGCTAGTTTTTAAGCTTCATGGCAATACTGTCCCCATACTGTCCTCCTCACAAGCCACTCTTTCCCTCTTTGCTGTATGTTGTACGTGTCCTTCAGGTGTGTTCCTTTCGCTGCTGTATAGTATTCCACCTTTCAGACATGTCAGGTGGACTCGGGATTCTCCTCTCCGTGGATGGCCAAGTCTATTCCAATTTTCCATTTTCCTAAGCAGGGCTGCCGTAAGTGTTCTTGCATGAGACTCGTGCCCATGTGCACATTTCCTCAGTTCCTGTGGGTAGGTGTGAATCTGGAGGGGTGGAAGGCAGGTGCCCATCTTCGTGCCTGCAGACAGTTGCAAATGGCTCTCCAGGTGTGGGCCAACTTCCCTCTCCCAGCAGCGCCGAGCTGAGCCCACCCCACATCCAACTGCGTCTCGATGCAGTCAGACTTTTCTGTGTCATTTTTGCCAGTCTGGAAATCAAACTCGTTGTTGTTTGAGTTAGTGTTTCCGTCATTGCGAGGTGAAGGCGTGTCATTCGGCGGCATCTCAGTCTGTAGGGTAAGCAGACACCCGGGGGTGGGGAAGTTGTTCATTCTAAGACACGGAGGTGATGGGATTTGTTGGTAGCACCTTAGCTCTGTTTTTGGGGTGCTGGGGTTGGAGCCCAGACATGCTCGGCAGGTGCTCTCCCACTGAACCACACTGCCAGCCCCCAAGTCTGTGCCTCTGAGTCACCCTCGGGTTGCTACGCAGTGGGCGAGACTTAAAGCAGATGTCCACGTCGCATCTCTCTCGTGGCATGTTTCGGCTCATGTCTCGATGGCAGTTTTTCTAAACTGACAGTCGTGTTAGTTTCTCGTCCACACAGCCTGCCCTCCCCTTCATGTCAGTGAGTGGGAGCTGGTTTTGATAGTGGTCATAAAAGCCCCCACGAAGCCTCCTGGGAAGGAAGAGCAGGCGAGCCTGCAGGTGGGCCCTTGGGTTTGCGGCTGTCCTCTGGCTGTCCCTCCGCCTGGGCTCCTCTCCCAGCCATGAGGCTCGGGGCTCACGTCCTGGCCGCCCCTGTACCCCTGGCAGACCTGCCTTGTCGGGAGGCCCCTGCTGACTCTGAGCTGTCTCAGGTTGCACCGGCCGGCCAGCACGCCCGGGCCTCCCTGCCCCCCACCACCCTCCCACCCTCTGGACAAGTTACTAGTTACCTCCCTTGGACTGTCACTAAGCTCTGTCTTTCCCTAATCCTCTGGAGAAAGTAACTTTGTTTTGTTCCTTGGGCGAGACTACAACAAGACTTCTACAACGATGCCTGGGGCACGTAGTTGGTTGTTAGTAAAGATGGGTTGATTAATAAGTGGGCTGCAGCTAATAAGACAGAGGGAGAGGTGGGACTGCCTGTGTGAGTCCTGGCACCACAGCATAGGCTGGGAAGGAAAGAGGCCAGGACACAAGTGCGACTGTGCCTGCGGCTGTGAACGGCCGGCCGTCCAGATGGGTGGGGGCGGTTGGGACAGAGGCAAAAGATGTGCGCAGGAGCCATATCAGCCCTTGGGTTTGACCTTGAAGCCAGTGAGCGCTTGCATGACTTTAATCAAGGAAGAAATATACTCTGTGGTTTAGAAGCCCACCACTCTGCCCCAATTAGGAGAACTTATGGGGTGAGGGTAAAGGTAAGACTGGAGGCTGGTGGGCCACCAAGAGGACTGTCAGAGTGACCGAGGTGACAGAAGACATTATTGTATCACGTAGTAGCAGGAGGATGACAAGAAGTGGACAACTTCCAGAGACGCCAGCTTTCCCCACGATCCCCAAAGTGTATAGGGTCCAAGAACTCGCCACATCTGGCCTTGGCCGGGCTCAAGGCCGGGCTCAAGGCCGGGCTTCGACTAAGCATGCTCTGAAGTAATCTGATCGGAGCGCTTTCCAAAGTGCTCCACCCACATCTCAACTCCCCTCCTGGTGAAAGAAATCTGGAGCACGGCTGCCATTATTCTACAGAGCGGCAAATAATGGAGCAGTGTGTGGATCGAACTCGAAGTTTTTGGAAGGAAGGCAGCATTTGACATCCAAGTTCCCCTGGTCTCCAAATCTTTTGTGCAAGTAAATTAGTTTCATTTGTCTCAGGGCACCTATTCCTGGCCAACTTCTTCCAACTTGCCTGCAAATGTTTCTCAGTGGTGTGTTTGAGGCTTGGCTTCGTCCCCTCGTCTGGAACAAATCTTTTTTTTTACTAGGAAATAGCTGGATGATGATTGTGGACTCTTGGACCCTGTCCCCCTCCCAGCTGTTGACTCGGTATCTGATACCTTGCTCATTGGCAGGGCTAACGTGCCCCTCTTGTGCCTGTTTCTCATTACTGTGGATTCCGTACGGCAAGCCGCAGGCCGTACCCACCACCTCCCGTCTCTGGCGAGACAGTTAGGGTTAACACCTGTTTCTTCAAGACTCTCCTGAGATGTGACAGGGAGGGGCGCACACGCTGCCTCTTTGCTCACCTCCCCGCCGCGCACATGTCCCGTGGCGCAGTGGTCATGCATTCCAGCTCCACCTAAAAACATCCAGATGATGGGAAGATCGCGTGGCTTCTTTCACATGGGAAAGCCACAACTCACCCTCCTCTCGTTCAAGTTGCATTCAAATCTGATTTCCATGGCCCGTGCAAGTGGGGGCCCCCCAGCCCCGTGTCAGCTGTTGAAGTTTAGCAACACTATTTCCAAACATGGGCCAGTCGGCAGCCAGCAGGCACTAGACAGCCGAGCGCTGGCAGAAAGCGTCCCCGACACCTAGAGCAGTCCAAACAGTGACTCGTCCTGCGATTGCCAGGATAAATATGGGAATAAATGGCATTTTTTTTCTCAGCAGGAAGAATTGTCAAAACGCTTATCACTTTATCAAATATAACAGATTGTGCCTGTTCTGTCTGAAGTGTTCCAACCAATTCACTGGATTTTTTTAAAAAGTTTGGTTCCAGCTTTCACTTGTTTCTCTTCTCTCTAGGAGGCCCGGACAGCTGAGGAGCGTCCATGCTGTCCTGCCGCCTGAGCTCTGGATCCACCTGGCCGTGGTGGCCTGCGGCAATCGGCTGGAGGAGACACTGGTCATGCTCAAATCAGCCGTGCTTTTCAGCCACAGGAAGATCCAGTTTCACATCTTCACTGAAGACTCTCTGAAGCCTGAGTTTGATAAGCAGGTGAATTTGCACAAATAGCGGCGTACTGTTTCCCAAGGGCATGGACAGCACAGCAGGGACTGCTTATACTGCTCTTTTTAAAACCAATTTTCTTATTCTAATTAGTTATACGTGACAGCAGAAGGCACTTCCATTCATTGTACCCAAGTGGAGCACGATTTTTCACTTCCCGGGTTGTCCACGGAGCAGAGTCCCACCCTTCGTGCAGTCCTACACGTACCTAGGGTAATGATGTCCATCTCATTCCACCGTCTTTCCCACCCCATTGTCCGGTTCTTCAATGTTGAATGCGGATGTTGTTGAACATGGGTGCCCTATGTTGCTTCATGCTCCGTGGCGTGACCTTGAACGCTTGACCCTGACCTACTGTCCTCCGGTGTAGCATGGGAATAATTACCCCCACCTCCGACAGACACGGTGAGGACTGAATGAGACGAGGCACGAAAAGCGCTTGGCGCAAGCTCGATCCTTCTTGCAGTGTGATCAGCCTCATTCTCAACTGGAGGTCAGAGAGCCTGTGTTCATGTATCTATGTGTATATTTTAAACAGCGAGCAACACGTGTTCATTGACATCAATCCAGGTAATATAGATGATAAATTAAAAGACAAAAGTCCTCACTGCCCTTCTTTCTCATGCAGGAAACAGAGAGAGTTAGCAGTCGTGTTTTTATCATCTGTAGGTGTGTGTGTGTGTGTGTGTGTGTATGTGTGCGTGTTTCCATAGGTAGACACGCATGTCTGATTATACACACATTTACACACACGTATCTATATCTCCAATTTACACGTGTTTCTTTCATGCAATCATGATCATACTCTGGGTATCATAGAAATAATTTGTTTGTTTGTGTGTTTGGGGTTTGTTTGCACTAGGGATTAAACCAAGGTGCACTGAGCCATTGAGCCACATCCCCAGCCCTTTTTATTTTTCAGTCTGACACAGAATCTCACTGAGTTGCTTAGGACCTCACTAACTTGCTGAGGCTGGCCTTGGACTTGCGATTCTCCTGCCTCAGCCTCCCGAGTCACTGGGATGACAGGCGTGCGCCACCGCGCCTGTCTGCAAAGCGCTTCTCTTTTCCACACTTAAGTCCCTGCGGGCAGTGTGGTCCCCAGTGAGCACTCAGCACCCTGGCCTCGGCCCTCTGGTGGTGACATAGCATTTTGAGGTGTCACTGGGTCACAGTGCTTTGGCTCTTCTCATTCTGTGTTTTTAGCAGTCCATAAGAAGAGCTCTGGAGAAGCCTCCTCCCCAGTGGAGGTATATGTGTGGCCTCAGAAGCCAAGCTTTGTTGCCCTTGAGGATTTCTACGGGGTGAGTTCTTGAGTGCTGGCAGACAGAGCCTGCTGTGTTTTGTTTCTATGGACTTGAATCAACAGTGCTGTGTCCTGTCACCAGGCTGGCCTCGCCAACGAGAAACATCAAAAACTGCATGCTTGGCAGAGAAGAGCTAACAACAGAGAGAAAGAGCTAGAAAACATGTTATATTTTCTAAAGAAAAAGATCGCCATGAGTCTTGTCCAGGAGAAGTCTGGGAACCAGCAGTCCTCGGACTTTGGGTGTGGTTGGAGGAATGACTTGGAAAAGCCCAAGTCAGAGAAGGGGTGTGAGGATGGCCCCCACGTTCCCAGTTAACCGCTCTAAAGCTTCAGCATGAGGGAAACAATAGTGAAGACAGAGAGAAAATGCCAAGAGCTTAGGCCCTAGGACGTCATCTCATGTAACCCTCCCCACGCCCTCCAGAAGGTACCCATCATGTCCCCTATCTAAGTTAGTTTTTCATCACTGTAGCGAAATACCTGAGGATGAGTAATTTTATAAAGAAAAGAAGTGTATTTAGCTCTCACAGTTCTGGAGGTGCAAGAGTTGGCACCAGCACCAATCTAGCTCTGGTGAGGACTTTGTGGCAGATGCCACCATCATGATAGGCATGTGGGGAAGGAAGAGGTCACATCACCAGACAGGAAGCCACAGAGAAGCTGGGTGTGGTCAGGATTGCTCTTGAATAACAAACCTATTATAAGAGCTAACTTAGGAGTCCCAAGAGACTCCTTGACCCCTTCCACAGGCATGTCCCCAGTGACCTAAGGACCTCACACAAGGGGCCACATCTGAACATCACCACACCCAGGACCAAGCTCCTGACACATGAACTCTTTGGGCAAAGACTGGAGCCATGTCCAAGTGATAACATCCCCATTTTACGGGCTAAGGAACCTGAGGCGCAGTTTAAATGATCTGCATCACAGAAGTCAGGTCCAGTTCACTGGCTTAAAGCTCCATGGGATTCGGCACTACTACCTCTGAACCAGCAGACAGAAGTCGCGGATCCAGGGCTCAGCCCCACTGTCCACTTGCTGTGTGGTCTTGGCAAGGCTCTGGGCCTCCCGGAGCCTTGGTCTCCCCATCTCCCACTAGGGGTCAGTTGGGTTGGTGAAAGGTAATTGCCCTCTGGTCAGGAGTGGTCGGGTCAGGTTGTAGTGACAACCACAAAGTTCAGGACTGTCTGCGTGCCTGCCGTTTGTCTCCCACAGGGTCAGGCCCTGCCACTTAGGTCTGGGATGGACGTGGACAGCGGCTGTGCCTGCATACAGCTGGGCCTGCCGGAGCATGTGGCATCCAGGGTTCCTCAGATGCCCTTGCAGGAGAGAGCCTTTCACTCCCTAGTGTGACAGTGACAGGTATCTTCCACACACACTGTGTGTGTGGGGGGGGGGTACAAGGGACTGAACCCAGGGGTGCTCTACCACTGAGCCACACCCCCAGCCCTTTTTATTTTTTATTTGGAGACAGGATCTCAATAAGTTACTGAGGATGGCCTCAAACTTATGATCCTCCTGCCTCAGCCTCCCAAGTCCCGGGGATGAGAGGCATGGCCACGATACCTGGCCCTTCCACATACTTCTAACTGGCTAGACACAGCCGTAGGCTCATCCACCCGTGGGACTGAGGATCACGTCTGTGTGTGACTGACCATGGACAAGCACAGGCTCGTCCTGCGCAATACCCACCCAGTGACAACTTGTCAGTACCTGCTGAGGCTTGGAGCTGGGGTGTGGGGTGGAGTGGAAGGAAACGCAGACTTGGATTTGAATAGGATGAGGGAAGGAAAACAGGGATGGCCTCACCTGAGTGGACTTTCCGAGGAAGCCCCCGGGCTCCAGGCTCATTACCCATACCTTGTGTCCTTCCCTGCTATCCTAGACTTGGCCTGTGTGCAGTTGCATAGGGCAGAAGTGACGGTGTGTCACCTCTGAAGTGATAAAAGGCACTTCACGTTTTCATTTGCGCTGGGTAAGCCAGCATGGCGGCCCCTGGTGAGGAGCGAGGGCCTCTGGCCAGCACTCGTGAGGGTATCATCAAGGTGACAGATGGCCGCAGCCCCTGACTTCATGAGAGGCCGTGAGCTACGACTACACTCCCACAGATTCCTGACCCTAAGAAACCACTGGAGATGATACATGTGTGTGGTTTGAAGCCTCAGCTTGGGGTAATTAGTTGTAAGGCAACAGCAATCCTTCTACACACGTGTGCACACAAACATACACACACGTGCACAGTCAGACCCATGCGTAGATACGACAGAGCATGCCAGACAGTGCTTGTGACAGCTGAGGCTCCTTCAGGAGAGGACACACCCTCTGCCTGGCTCCTTGATGGGAGGTCTGTCCTAGAACCCAGCCTCCCTGCCAGACGTGTGAGTGTGAATCTAGACACTTCCAGCCCTGCCCCAGATGTGCGTGGAGTCCTGGTCTCAATCCCAGTATCAAAAAGGAAAAGTTAAGAAGATGCACAGGTGGCACATGAGCACGTGGAGGACATTCAACAGGTCATGAGGCAGTCCAGCTCAAGGCCACAGTGAGATCAGCACACACTAGTGGAGTGGCTAAAAACTGGAGCAGACACTGCACGTGCTGGTGAGGGTGTGGACACAGGCACTCCCATCCCGCAGAGCCCCACGGGAAGACAGTTAGGCAGTTTCTAGAAAGTCAGACGGAGGTTTACCATGGAGGCAGCAAGTGCAATCCAAATATTGACCAAGGAGTTGGGAACTTGTGTTCCCAGAAACCTGCACACAGATGCTCACGAGCCTCAGTCACGATTCTCCCCACCTGGAAGCAACCAAAATGTCCTCAGTCGATGACTGCAAGAATAAGCTGTGGCACGTGCATACAGTGGAGTATAAGTAGTAAAAACCAAGTGAGCTGTCAGGCTACAAAAAGCCACCTAGAACCTCAGTGCATATTTTTAAGTAAGAGAAGGTAGAATGAGAAAGTGCCACACTGTACCACCCTACCCACGTGACGTTCTGGAAAGGTGAATCTGGGAGCTAACAAGAGGTCAGTGACTGCTGAGAGTTCAGGGGGAGGGAGAGAAGGAAGGTCAGGTAGGGAGGACAGGAGGTTTAGGGCAGCGACGCTGTTCTGGGTGCTACTGTCATGGGGGCTGTGACATGATGCCTTGCCCAAGCCGTGGAGTCACCACACAAAGCAGGGACCCTCCATAAAGTACCAATGTACACTACGACTTAGCAGTGATTACAATTGATGATGATGACCTGATTAGCTAAGAGGGATTATAGTAGCAGTGACAGGTGGGTGTTGGTTCATCCATTGTGACAGTCACACCACACCAGAGCAAGATGGCAGCAGTACTGGAGACCATGGGCGGGGACCGCGAGCAGCTGACGGGGACTCTGTGCTTCCTGCTCAGCTTCTCAGGAAGCATAAAACTGCTATGAAAACAAAATTTGTGTTGTAAAATTCATTTACTTAAAGAAAGCATTACATTTCATCTGCACGGAACATTTGAAAGAGCCCAGGACTATGAACTTAGACTGAAACTCCACCACTACCTCTAGAGGTGTAAATGTTGGGGTGTGCCTCTGTCCTCCATCCAGATTGACCTCCACATGTGAAACACACGTGCGCGTGTCTCCCTGACAGGTAGAGCCATGGCGCAAGCACTTCTGCACTTGGCGTCCCCAGATGGTGTTTCCGCGTCAGCACACACAGGACCTCCTAGTTCTAATTGTGCATTATCCCATCATATGACTGTGTCATACTCCGTCTCCCAGTTCCTTGCAACTGGACAGTTAGACTGTCCCCACGCTGCGACTACCACCCAGGTCGTGGTGAAAGCCGCTGCCCCTGCGTGCATCGGGACTGTTGTCACCGTGTCCAGATTGCCCTTTGACAGCTTGTGCAGGTGTGCCCTCAGCTTGGCAGGGATCTGGAGCCAGTTTCCCAGCTCCCCCTAACAACTGTGACTGCCATGTCAAATCCTCGTGGTGCCCATGGGACAACCTGCTCTCTCATTTGTTGAGCGCCAGTCGTGGTGTCGAGCCTAGTCTCTCTAGGTAAATCCTGGGGAGTTTCCGTTCGGCCTTCCAGAAACCTCCCAGGTATTTTCCGTATTTCCTGGCGTCTAACCCTCCTCCCTGTGCCTTCCGTCTCTTCCAGTTACGACAGTGGCCTGACTCATATACAAAGAAGTTTGAGCACAGGATCTACCCCATCACCTTTTCTGTTGGAAACCCTCAGGAATGGAAGAAGTTGTTCAAACCCTGCGCTGCCCAGAGACTCTTTCTTCCGGTAGGAATACCTGTTTTTAATAAGTCGCAGCTTGGGAAAACGTGCTCTTGGAAAGTTGGAGAAATCTGCTGAGATGTGTTTAGAAACGTTGAACTTCCAGCTAAAAGTGTGTCTCCCTTGGATTCTGTCCTTGATGCTCTGTAGGCTGCTGAGTGTGGAGGGAGGGTCCCTGTGTTCCAGGGGTGTCTTCCCTGAGACTGAGGGTCTGAGAGCACCCGAAGCACGTTCAGGGTCTTCGTGACTAAGGCTCCTCTGTGGACGAGTGTGTCAACCTGAGGCAAGGCCCGGGTTTTCTGAGCCTCGCTGTCCTCCACGGGCTCAGCACACAGTCAATGCTCAGCGTCACCTTCTGTCATAGTTCTCTCTACGACAATCACTGGCGGGAGACGTAGCCACACAGTTGTAGCTCACAGTGGCCCCAGAGCTCTGGTGCAGGCTTTCCCTTCTGAAGTTTTAAATGGTGTGTTTTCTAAAAATCCTAGATAGAAAAGCCAGTTAAGTTTCACCCAAACGGGGCAACTTTGAATCGGGCGTGGCAGCCTTCATATCTATGGGGCCCCTGCCTTCCTTAAACCTGTGATAATCGCCCGTCAGGTGCCAGGCCAGGGGACCACGGTGACAAGTGTCAGGGGCACCAGGAGACAGCCAGGGCCCTACTGCCTCAGCGTGCTTCTGGCAGGGCACTGAACAGGCTATCGGGGGAGTGACCGGCTGAGGAGGATGTCGGTAACACGGGGGTGGGGAAGAGGTCACAGAGCAGCAGTGCGTATACTGAGACCTGAGCCAGGTTCCTGGGTGACGGGACTGGGGAACGAGAGAGGGGAGGGTCCAGGAAGCAGAAGAGCGTGCAGAGGTCCCAGGCCGTCAGCCCTGCGGGTGGGTCTGCTCTTTGTCCTCGGGGTGGGAAGCCCTGGGGTGACTTCTAGCGTGGAGGTGGGACGGCCTGCCTGGGCTTTAAGAGGGCACCCTGGGCACTGCAGTGTGCACAGCTGGGCTGGGCTGTGGAGGGTCTAGGGGCATCCAGGACCTGCCCGAGACACAGGACTGATCAGGCCTCGCGATGGGCTCCTCTAGGGCTGAAGGAGAATGAAAGGGACAGGATCTCACCCTGGATGCCCCCTGGGCAGCTACTTAATATTGGAATTGCCAATATCTAACCATTTATGACACACAAAAAGGCGATTTTTCAATATTGTCCAGCCTACGAAATGCGCGCTGACCTCATTTAGAGGTGGCAAAGACTGCAGACGAGCACCTTAGGTCAAGGGGGAGGTGGGTTTAGTTGGGTCCCATTTGGTTTGGAGGCTGGGGACGGCCATGCAGGGGACTCTTCCGTGTGCTGGTCTGGAAACCCTGGGTGGCGAGTGACCCTGTTCATGGTTCTGACTCAGGGACCAATGGAAGGACAAAGCCTGGTGAGTGTGCGGTTGGTGCTGCCTGCAGCCCATGCTCACCCACGCCCACACAGCCTGGCTCACGTGCTGTAGACCCTTCTCCACACTGTGAGGAGGGGTTAATGGCACAAAATGGGGGTGAGAAGTGGCCACCTCAAAATGGGACTGCGAGCTCTAGGTGGGTGATGGATAGACTAATTACCATTGGAGAAGACAGAGGACATGTTAGGTTTCTGCTTCTTATGTCTATTTTACGCAAGAAGAAACATTAGAAAGTCAAAACTAATGTTGGGAAATTGTTTCCTTGTGGGATCCAAAGATTAGCACCCCAAAGGGACCTCATTTGAATCTTCTGTGACCTTGAGTGGTGATTTTATTACCACTGTTTTAAAAACTCACCAAGAGACAGTTTTCATTCATTCCCAGTTAAGTAAGTGTTCCCTTTTGAATGACAAATGGGTGCTGGCATTCCTTATCTGCTTCTGATAGTGGAAACTAGCCCTGCTTAGAAATAATAAAGAGAGATTGCACTTGACAGGACATTCACCTTCCTGCGGTCCTACCCACAGCACAGATCCTGAACGTGGCATTTCAGAGCATTACCCAGCTGCATGGATCCTCATGATAACTTGAAATAAAGTCTAGGTCACGTTTCCCCTGAAATTTGCCACTATAAAACCAAATAGGGAGTGCCTCTCAGGTGGCACAGGGGACGTGGAGATCCTAAGATGCAGACACGTTAGCAGTGGCCAGTGGGCCGAGGGCCATTGTTGGGCCCCTTTTCTAAGGTGCTGCTGTCTACCCTAAGCCTGCAGGAGACACCCTTTCTCAACCAAGATTTTGCCATCAGAATAATATCAGAGCACAAGTCTTCTGGTCCCAAACTTGTCACGTTCTCAAGTGTCAATGGGCTTTGGATTCTACCACTGCAAGACCATGGAGTCCGGAAACGCCTACTCTGAGCCCGGAAGTAGGACCATCCTTAGTGAAAGTCCACTGCAGGTGGCTTGAGCTCTCCAAGACGCACAATCCTTTGAGGAAGTTCAAGACTTAAGGTATTTAAAACAACATGCCAATTACAAATAAACCACACTTGTTCCTGAAAATGGGTCCTGGAAGCCCTCACCCTCAGGAAGGCCAGGAGCCCTTTGTTTCTATAAGAATGATTGAGTTTCTCAAATCCAATCACCTTTCCCTCATTTAATGAGAAATGGTGAGATTTTATAATAGGTCTACATATTTTACTACACATTGTGGCCATTAGATCACACAGATTTCTCTCCTGAATAACTGACGTCCTCTGGGGGTCCTAGAGATATTTACAGTGTAATAGAGATGGCTGGGTTGCTCAGAGACTTTATTGGCACGTGGCACCCCACGTGGTCATGTCGTGGGGTGAACTGCTACTCACGCTTCACCAGGGACAAAGACTTTTCCAAGCCAGGTTTAATAAGCTCTGAGATTATATTAATGGGTGACATCATTCCTGCTGCTATTGCTTAACACGAGTGTCCACATTCAAGGAAGGAGTTAGGGAGGAATATTACCCAGAGACACAGGATAAAATCGCTCCTAGCCTTATTGGAAAATTTATTGTGAGAGTTCTGACCCAGTATTTCTAAGAAACTTGTCTCATTCTTTAATATTTTAAAGTAAACAAAAATCTCATATTACCTATATTTTGTATATCACATTCAAGGCCACAACACAGAATCTCCCCTTTTTTGTTAAAAGGGCCTGTACCTGGTTTCAGTGTTGGGAAAGCTATGTGCTTGCCAGGGGGGCTCTAATAGGTCAGCTGTGGGCTGATGGAAAAGGGAGGCTTGTGGAGTCCTCAGACCTCTGTATTATTACTATGTCTTACCTCCCATTAGCAATTAACATTGTAACATCTCTGGAACCAACACTTTAGATAGCAACAAAAATTGACAGATGTATAAAAATATATTAAAAATCATTTTTAAGAGGAATACCATGTAGTTTTTTTTGTTTTGTTTTGGTACCAGGGGTTGAACTCAGGGGTACTCAACCACTGAGCCACCTCCCCAGCCCTATTTTGTATTTTATTTAGTAGGATCTCACTGAGTTGTTTGGCATCTCACTATTGCTGAGGCTGGCTTTGAACTTGCGATCCTCCTGCCTCAGCCTCCCAAGCCACCGGGATTACAGGCATGCGCCGCTGTGCCCGGCTAGAGGAATACCATGTAGAGTCATCATAATGATGTATGTGTTTTCATCAAGCACCAAGAGGCCATAAATTATTGGGATGAGATTAACTACCAAAAGGATCATGTGAAATGAGCCTAGATACCAATTTTGTCGAACAAGCTTTCTACAATGTAATCATTTACTTACACATTATTGTTTCAGTCAGCTTTTTTGTTGCTGTGACTAAAGGATCTGACCAGATAAATTGTGGAGGAGGGATAGTTTATTTGGGGGCTCATAGTTTCATAGTTCTCAATTCATGGACAGCTGGCTCCAATCCCCCAGGGAGCTTGAGGTGAGGCAGAACATCATGGCGGAAGAGTGTGGCAGAGGGAAGCGGCTCACATGATGATCAGAGAGCAGAGAGAGACTCCATCCTCCAGATACAAATATATCCCCCAAAGACAGGCCCCCAGTGACCAGCCTCCTGCAGCCGCACCCCACCTGCCTCAGTTCCACCCAGTTAATCTCATCAGGGGATTAAATCACTGATTGGGTTAAAACTCTCACAACCCAATACTTTCTCCTCTGAGAGGTGAGCTTTTGGGGAACACTAAATCATAACACTAGTAAAGGAAGGACATTCAGAATATTAATTAGCTCTTGATTACACATAAGAAAAACTCAAGGCCAGCTAACTAAGCAAAGAAGGAAACTCATTTTTTGGCTGACCTCGGCTGCACGCAGGACTCAGGGTCCTCATGTACCCAAACGCAGTGGGGCCACCTCTCGGTGAGTGTGAAGCAGAAGATAAAAGTCTGGGGAAAGATTGCCCCCCTGGAGCCCCCTGCAGAGCAGTGCTCCACCAGAAGAAGGCAGCAGGGGGTCATGTGGCACCACTCACCTCCACCTTAGAGACAGGCACACTCCTGAGCACACCCAGCTCGGGGTCACAGGTCAGTTCTCAGCTGGAGGTCACAGAGCACACCAGCAGGCCAAAGTGTGACACACACACTCTGGGGAGCTCAATCCCGTGTTATACAACTATAAGGAGCCAATGGACACCTAGAGGAAACGCTGGAGTGGCTCCGTGATCTTGGACGTGACAGCTGGATCTTTGTGTGTTTCTCCGAAAAGCTCCAGCAAAGCAAGGGACACATGGAAGGTGCCTGAATGTAGCACTTTCCAGGAAAGGTGCCTGTCCCACCCAGCGGCTGACAGCCAGGGCGCTATCTCTCAGTCCCTTGCAGGGCTTATTCAAGGAGCATAATAATTGTGCGAGGCAGCCTGAAGCCCACATTCCAGAAGCTTAGCAACGGCAGCAGGAAACAGCATGGCAGGAGCATGTCCTCTAAAATGGTGACGCGAGGAACTCTGTGAAACACGTATACTGGTGGAAGTTATTTTTTAACCAGCTGTCTAAATTCTTTGGAAATTTCCCTAAAGACCTAAGCAAAT